AGGCATAATTCTCATTACTCTCAGAAAGGTAATAGCATTCGTCTCCTCAACAAGCTCCACAATTCATTCATATCTGCAGCACAAATGGGGCAGGGTGTTACGTGAGTTAAGGGTTTGTTCAAAGCCAACTTTAAATAATTACTAATTTTCAGAGAAATTGCATGTGAGGACTACAGTATCTTTTCACCAGAGAAAATCAACCATTAATATTCAGAGCCATTTTGTGAAAGTTCAATTTGGAACAGCTTCTTCACCACCAATGACAATGAACTCATGAATGTTTTTTCCTGTGAAATATTGTTAAATAAAATAAAATAAAATAGAGAGACGTACTCTGTGCAAGTTCTATGCAGTTTGCAGCATTAGTCTGTCACATTGAATGGCCTACACATTTGTCATATAGATAAAATCAATGCATACCATGCTCTACCATCACTGCTTATGCAACTTTGTTAACACACAGCTGTATCACACTTAAACACTGCAACCAACCAGGGATTCAAGTCAGATTTCTGAATTCCAGTTGTTCTGCATTCTAATCAGCAAGGAGTTCAGGCATATAGTTTAATAGTTTAGTTTGACAACATCAGTAATGTCACAAAACTAATCTCAGACCAAATGTGGTTAGTTAAGTGATAGGATGTGCTTTTAGAATCCACTAATCAATATGGTTTAAACTTAAAAATAAATGATACACTTGCCAATAGCATATTGTTTTGATGATATATAAGTTTAATATTATGGCTTTATTGGTATTTGTTCTTTATTGGCATCTGTGGTTCCATGAAGAACCTTAAAAAATCCATAGAACCTTTCCATTGCACAAAAGGTCTTTATAGGAGGTATTTCAATTATTAAAAGGTTCTTTAACAGTAAGAGAAATGTATCTTTTAAGAACTGTTCACTGATTCTTTAGGGACCCTGAAATGGTTCCTCTAGGCATTGTTTAATTAAAGGAATAGTTCATTTAAAAAAAAAAAAAAACGTTAAAAAAATTAAGGTTTTTGATGAAAACATTCCAGGATTTTCTCCATATAATGGACTTACCAAACGGTTCAAGGTCCAAAAGACAGTTTCAGTGCAAACCGCAAACTGTTCAAAGGGCTTTAAAAGATTCCAGACGATAAATAAGGGTCTTATCAAGCAAAACGATCGTTCATTTAAAAAAATAAATAACAAAGTTTAAGTTTTATAAGCTCAAATGGTCGTCTTGCTCTGTTCTGTGATGCGCGTTCGTGACTCTCCTGTTCGAACTCATTCATCAAAATGATGGTTCATTCAACGAACGAAATGAACGAGATGACTCGGGAAAAGTTTGCACTGAAACTGTCTTTTGGACCTTGAACTGTTTGGTTCCCATTGAAGTCCATTATATGGAGAAAAATGCTGGAATGTTTTAATCAAAAACCTTAATTTCTTTTTGACTGAAGAAAGAATGACATGGACAATTAAATTATCAAGTAAATTATCAGCAAAAGTTTTTTTTTTTTTTTAAGTGAACAACTTCTTTAAGCCTAAAAGTTTAAAAAAAGCCATTTTATTAAGAATCATATTGCTGTGTGAGTGCAGATTATGCATGTGGTGTCAGACAGCGAGAGAGGCACTGCTGAGCATAACAGTGAGAAACAGTCGGCTGGTGGAGAATGGCTGAACTTTAAGCTGCCGGCTACAATCCTACAGTTTGATTATGGCTTTATACTGTATATTTCAGTAAGCCTAAGCTATGAAGCTCTGAAAACCTGAACCACAAATGATCAGTTGCAGGTCTTGGTCCATGTCAATGCTGATAATGGCATTATTCTGTTAACAACAAGGTCAGAATTAGCATATGTCAGTCATGGCCTGAGCTAATGGACATTGATAGAGTTCCTAATTTACAAGCTCTCTGAGCATGAATCGATCTTCACCTTGGCTAATCGCTGACAAACTGCCTGCCTTTCACTTCCCTTGAGTGACAGTGAAATTACCTACGGAACTGGAGCTAAGTCCTCTATTCACATGTTCACATAATGTATATGTAGGATTTGAGAAAGGTAGACAGGTCTTGATTGATGTTTAAAATGGGGAATCAGATTCGGCACTTGACTCAATGGAACTTCGGAAAATAAAAAAGAACTTTGGACGGAGGATGGATGCTGGACTAATAGAGCGTAACAGTTGGCTTTGTGAAGTAAAAATCCCCTTTTTTTTTGATAAATCCAGGAAAATTTCCTTGAATATTGAATTGCATTTTGGCATGTCACATTACAATAAAGTAAAATGGTTTGTGATCACGTTTCATGATATAAATATTTTTTTTGTAAAAGTGCAAAAATCTCTCTCTCTCTCTCTCTCTCTCTCTCTCTCTCTCTCTCTCTCTCTCTCTCTCTCTCTCTCTCTCTCTCTCTCTCTCTCTCTCTCTCTCTCTCTCTCTCTCTCTCTCTCTCTCTCTCTCTCTCTCTCTCTCTCTATCTCTCTCTCTCTCTCTCTCTAATATATATATATATATATATATATCTTCAAACAGTAAAGCACCAAGGTCATGGGTTTGATTCCCAGGGAAAGCAAGAACTGATAACATTGATAAATGCAATGTAAGTCCCTTTGGATAAGCGTCTGCCAAATGCATAAATGTGTATATATGGTAGTTTTTTGCAATATTAATAAAAATAATAATGAACAGTGAATAATAAATTACTATTGTTTTTGTAAGTTGTATCAGAAGCCATATCACCCAAGAAGTTGCCCAAGAAGCTAAGCAGGGTTGAGTCTGGTCATTATCTCGATGGGAGACTACTGGGAAAACCACAATAGTGCTGGAAAAGGCATTAGTGAGTCCAGCAGGGGGCGCTCACCCTGTGGTCTGTGCTGGTCCTAAAGCCCCAGTGTAGTGATGGGGACACTATACAGTCAAAGAGCACCGTCCTTCTGATGAGACGTTAAACTGAGGTCCTGACTCTCTGTGGTCATTAAAAATCCATGGATGTCTTTCGTAAGAGTAGGGGTGTGACCCTGGCATCCTGGCCAAATTTGCCCAGTGACCTCTGTCCATCATGGCCTCCTAATCATCCACATATACTAAATGGCTTCATCACCCTGTCTCCTCTCCACCAGTAAGCTGGTGTGTGGTGAGCGTTCTGGCGCAATATGGCTGCCATCGCATCATCCAGGTGGTGCTGCACATTGGTGGTGGTTGAGGAGATTCCCCCCTTTCATATGTAAAGCGCTTTGAGTGCCGAGAAAAGCACTATATAAATTTAATTATCATTCATAATGATGAACAGTAAAATATGTCACATATACAGTATTGTCTATTTTCCTGATATTTAAATACTTTTAGGTTTCAAATCATATTTTATAATGTGATTCAGAGCTGGTCGGGTTGGCTCAAGGTTTAGATTTTTTTTGTGAACAATGACTTGAAAAGCAGAGAAAATGAATAGGAATACTTTCAGAATCAATTGGCTTTATATGAAAGTATCACTCTTTAAAGAAAAAAATATATTTAGAAACATAAAAGATTTACATCAGGCACTTCATATAGAACCTTTCATGGGTTCCCATCATGGGATCATTTTACAAATTTATTTATAATTAATTCATTTTGTTTTAATTCATTTAGTTTAATTACATTTTGCGAATTAAACAATTTGCAAACATACTTTACTGTATGTTTAAAAATGGAAATAAGCATGAAAGTCATGAATGCTTCTTTAAAACTGAGTCAAGAGTGTTATATATATAAATCTGCTTCTACAGAATTAGATTGTTTTAATTGGGATGATTTCAACACTATTTCTTAATATTTATTAGGAACTTAAGTGATCAGTCACTTAACTGCTTGATGCAAGGGATTTAACAACAGCTTGCCATGTTTTACTGTATAGACTTTGGAATGACAGAGGGATATTGAATAATTTATAATAGACAAACCAGAAGGTATAAAATAAAATAGCTAATAGAAAAAAAAGATGTAAAACCAATTATTAAATGTCATATGCTCTGCTATGAACTCTTAAATCAGTGTTCAAATCTATAATATAATCAGCCAATGATCATCAATCCAGTCCAGCCAGAAAAAAATAAATAAATAAATTTTCACACTGCCATATTAATGGACAAAACAATTGTTTCAAAGATACGGTCGTGTTTCATGTGGTTTCATCTGTGAACTCATTTTTCAAACCTTTCATCTGTGAATCAGTTTTTCAAAACATGCAAATGCACTTGTTATAATGCACATATACTCTCATTCATATCACACACACACATCCATAAAAGACAGTCTACCTGAAATCTAATTATATTGACAGCAACACAGAGACATTCTGTGCACAAATCCAATCTGCTAAAACACACAGGCTATTCAATCAACTGAGGCTACAAATTTTAGGTTCCTGACAACACATTGCATCCTTTATAAAGGAACAGAGTTTACATGTCAATCTTCTATTGGCTGTACTCTCTTAAGTGTTACATGCATTCATTGTCATTTTATGATAACATAGGCTAATAATATCTTTGTTCTCGTCATTTTAACTTCACACAACTTATTTCCTTAAATTCAAAGTGGTCTAAAAAGTGCAATGATCTTATTTGTCGCCTACAGGTTGTGACTTTGCCACCACTTTGATTTTACTATGGCAGCAATTGAAACTTAGTTTTAGTGGGTTATTAAAACAGCCCATTTATAAATCATATTATTATGAGTAATGTTTGACTGTTAGGACAAATGCCAAGAAGCAGTAACCTTTCACACTTGAGCAAACACTTCATTAGCTGACTAATAAGACATAATGTATTCATAAATCCAAATGAGAAGAAAGCATGCAGGTTATTGTGCTTATATTTATTCAGAATTAATTCTCATTAATCAAACGAAAGTCTACTGTGCTAAAAGATAGTGCACACCACTGAACAGCCAATAAAAATAAATTAAAAAATAAACTCTCAGCATTGTATCAGCTTTTCTGATGTTGGTAAGTACAGAAAATAAAACGCGCGTGCAGCACATCACCTACCGGCAAAGCTGAGATGAAGCAGGTAGATTCCCATAAGACCCATTTCTGCACGTATATGAAGAGAGGTGGCTCGAAATGTCGCGAATCTGTCTCTTTTATATTCTGAGGTTGCCGACAGAGGAAAGCCGTCCTGTTTTCATATCAATTCAACACGTTAAAGACACGTAAAACAGTCAAACATGAGAGTAGCCTAACGTCTGTAGACTACACGCAAGCCGCGCGCGCAATACCGCCAAGTGCCAAACTGTCAATCAGGACGTCAGAATAAAGCTTGAAATAATATTAAAGCGCTAATGAAAGTTCTCCATCTGCTCCATAATCTCTTATTGACATTTGTTTCCTCCGAGGGTTACAACACGAGTGAATGAAGAGTCAGATTTCATTGACTGAAGATCAAACTCATTCTGAGCAGAGAGAGAGAGAGAGAGAGAGAGAGAGAGAGAGAGAGAGAGAGAGAGAGAGAGAGAGAGAGAGAGAGAGAGAGAGAGAGAGAGAGAGAGAGAGAGAGACTGACTGACTCTCTGAGTTTTTAGCCGAGTTGTGTCTCAAAACCTCCAGAGCTGAAATGGCACCAAATGAGTGTAGCCTATGTTACACGAGTGCCCCCAAAAAAAGGTTGTCTAGGTCTAGATCTTCTGATCCAAAGCCATTACATCAGAGAGGCTATCAAACAATCCTGCTCTTTGATTTCAGCTTTGAACTGAATTTCAGGGCTGAAATATATGCAAAACATGGCACAATGGTAGTTATTTTTTACTACACAGTGAAAAAGCTGAATGAGAGTCCCACACGCAAAAGCCAAAACATTGCAGCATTCACTGCAGACTTTTAAGGAGACCAAATTAAATGTTTTTAGGGAACCAAGATCATTGAATCAAAGACCTGTATTGATTGACCGTAAATGTAAATGTATTGGGTGGGGGATGCGTCTGTGGTGGTTACTTGCGCCCCTGGTTTATATTGGCAATCAAAGTGTGCCTTGGAGAACTGCTAACCTTCTTACCAAGGCTGTGGTGCTACAACTTAAGCCATGGCCTTCAATTCTTAATGAATGCATACTAGTGCAAGCGTAAGTACTATAGAGCTCATTAAAATTGGGCATTATGACTCTTAATCACAGTCATGTATTGCATTTTTACCAGGCATGTCATTGTGAAATCTTCTATTGTTACAGTTTTTACACACACAAACAAACATAGACAGACTAATATATATGCTTGTTGGGGGAACCATGATATAGAAGGTGAAGAAAGACATGACTGAGCACTGGTCAGAAGGGGGTCACATAATCAATCCATCTCATTCATTGCAGTCCGTTGGTTCACACGCGCTGATGACAGGACTGACTGCAGCTGTGAGCTCTCTGGAATGAGAGTGTGCTCTATTGTTTAAATTGAAGCTCCTTCAGGATCGAAATGGATCTGGATGTGTCGTGACATGGGTGATAGTAGACATCGGGGTGGACTTTTTTGAAAAGATAGAGAGATGTCGTAAGAAAGCACTGACAGTTTGAATCAATTATAAGTGGATTTCAAGGTAATAAACATAAAAAAACATAACTGCCTGTGTGTGTATATTCTGAAGGGAAGAAAAGCAATAAAATCAGTAGAAAAAATGTTTTAATATAGACCGCAGTGGCATGTAATACCATAAGCATTGTTGGTCTGAAAACCAGACTTGACAAGTTGGCAGTTTTTACATTTTTATACTGTGTGTGTGTGTGTGATAGAAAAGCAGCTTACATGTAGACCACTGGGTTGCAGATGCTAAATAAATGCAAAACATTTTAATATATTCAAAGCAAACAGGGCAGGGTAAACATCATCCAAGCCCAAAAAAAACCAACCCCCCCCCCAGAAAACATTGGTTTTAGATATATCAACTTCTTAAGTTCTGTTGGTTTAAAAGCAAATTCTAATTTAAAAATGTATTATGCACACAAAAAAGAGAGTATATATTTTTTTATGCATTTTATAAGCTGAGTCACAAACTGCACGCCACTTTTGTCGTGTGACCAATACAATCACATACTTTCCCACTATATAGAAGGCTAAAACAGTATGTGACAAAAGAAGTATGTCCGAATTCACAGTAAAGAGTATGACTTACTACTTCAGGCAAGATTCTGAAGTGTGCGTATGGACACTTTACTATTCCATGAGGCCACGATAAGGATTTGTGAATGCCAGTGAAGCGACACAATAGACACTGGTAGGTCACACAACAATAATAGCATGGTTTTTTTTAGCGGCTGTGAAGTAATACTAAAATAAGCACCTACTCAATAGATTATGTGATTTCGGACGCAGCCCATTACTCAATGTCACATGATTTTTTTCAAAAACTTGCACTGTGAATCCCATTTTCCAAGGTTTGTGTATTCAGGCTTCCCGTCATGTAAATGAACGGCCAAAACGCATACGCTTTTTAAGTTGAAAATGGTGTCGTGCAAACAACCCTGAGCCTCAACAAAATGGTGAAAATTACAAAGGAGCAACATTTCATATTTCTCTGCAACCTTGATGGCTGTAGGGAATTATTTTGATCAAGGATCGAGTTTAAAAATGAAATAAAAAAAATTAACATAATGTGCAGAAAAACTTTGGAAAGGGATAGAGAATTATTAAATATTTTTTGTATAAAAAACGACACAGCTGACCTCACTCTACTCGAATTGGTTTAAATGCTCTGAAAGCACAAATCTGCAAGGCTCTTTTGATGGGTCTGTTTTTTTAGTGCGGTGAAGATCATTTACCTCTGTGTGGTCTGTCTCTTTCTTCCTAGAGTTCTGACTTCCCTGACCCGTGGCCGACCACATAGGGTGCCGCAAAATAAAGAATAAACAGATGAGCGCTGCTCTGAGCATCACAGACACTCCTAAGAGACACTCCGTCTGCTCAGAGCTTTCTGCTTTGTGATAGATAATTAATCGTGATGGTGGCGCAGACCTCCTGTTCTACATAGCCAGGTGTGAAAGAAGATTGAGCCTGGACTAATATGAGAATTACATAATGCCAACTACTTTCATTACGTCTACTCTACTTTACAGAACAAGATGTTGTAATACAACAATGTGTTATAGCAAAACTGGCAGTGTCATTGGAGTCAATTCTAAAAGTAATTTTTGACCTTTTTTGGGGGGAAAAGTGTAATGAAATCTATTATTTTACTCCATATGTGTCTGTGCTGTGTCTATTTAAGCTTATTAGAGTATCATGATGTTAGCTTAGCAACATGCTAACTTAAAGAAGGGCAGTTTTTGCCTAATGGTTAGAGAGACTTGTAACCTGAAGGCAGCAGGTTCGACTAAGGTGCGTTTGAGCAAGACATCAAACAAACACCCAATCAGAATAATTCCCACCTTCTATACAATAATACGCTTTTTTAATGCTATTTGAGCATAAGAAACAACATTGAGACTGAATATGAAATTTAATCGTAAGCTTTGGTGAACAGCTTTGGAGAAATGTACTGTATGTTTCCCCATTTTTGCACGACTGAAATGGTGTTTCAAAGATAGCGAGTGAAATGACGTGATATTAAGATTTGTCACGCATTCAAGTCGGAAACACATAACAGAAGTAGCCTAAACAACAAAACAAAACCATTTTTATTGTGATTAAAGTATTGTGATTCACACAAAAACCGCTGCAAAAGATGCTTTCCAACAGGTGTTTTACCATTCGTTGTAAAACTGTAGACCTATTTTTCCGAACGCCTCACAACCGTACATTCTTCCATTGAGAGCTTGAATAATAGACACTCCAGCCCAGTTGGTGGCGATAATGCACCTTTGCCAATTGCAAGCAAACCACTTGTATAGTGTAGCCTACGATACTGCGACTGCATAACACTACAGAAAGAATACAAACAACCCCATTTCCGTTTCCGGCGGCGGAGTAACAGACATCACAGAACATTCAATACAAGTCAATGGAGTTGGACAAAAACTACAAAAAAAAAACTGTTGGAAAGCATCTTTTGCAGCGATTTTTGTGTGAGCATATCAGTGAACACCCCAGACCACTCAGTGAGTTTCACGTCTTTGTAAACTAAAGTTTAATGCGTTGTATAAAGGATTGTCCCTGTGCACCTATGCTACCATTGTAGAAACTGAAAATTCTTGGGACAGCAAAACAATCTTAACCATTGTATTTCATCAGAAACGATTTTAAAACAGGGCAGTAAAATACAGTAACATACCGAACAGTAAAATACCTTAAAACAGTAAAATACCAAACTTGTTCTTTAAGATTAGTGTTTTCAAATCGACTCATGTATCATCTAGATTTCTAAGCTTTCCACTCGTAAATATAACTTTCAAACTTTGTTCAGTCATTCATGTGCTCAGAACTTGTAATTACAATTTTTTTCCGACGACTCCACTTGAAGGGCTCATAGGCTATTCTTCCTGCCCCCTGACAGTGATGTCATTACACTGCATCATTTACAGACACACTGGGGCTGCTCCCTCACAGTCTGAGGAAATATCAAGCACATTTTCATCAAAACTCAAAGAAGCCACTGATTGTTTGAGATGTATATATCGAGCACAATGAGCCCGTTCTCATCCTTTGGCGTCATATAGGTGATGCCATATGACATTTCGTCGAAATACTACGCACATATACGTCATATAGCCAATTGGCATCCTTTATCGTCAATAGCTTGTTTTCATATGACATAACGCCACTGCGTTGCCATGGCGCGAAATAGAAATGGACGGCAGGAAGTGATTTGCTATATTTAGAAAGCACTGCTACAAACTCAAAATGCCTGTGTTTTGAGTCGTTTATAGTTACTTGAATCGATCAAACTAACACAGTCTCATCCCAAATCGTCATATAACTGACGTTTTGGGACGTATTTTGACCATACGTCAATATCCGCCTTTTTAGGGCCCCCTTAAACGTCGGTAGATGGCGATCCCGGGCCGTCATACAACTGACGCTTTACCTTTAACGTCAGTTAGGTGACGGGTTAGGTTTAGGGTTAAGTTTAGGTATGGGGTAGAGTTAGGATCCCATAACCTCATCTACCGACGTTTAAGGGGGCCCTAAAAAGGCGAATATTGACGTATGGTCAAAAGACGTCCCAAAACGTCAGTTATATGACGATTTGGGATGAGACCGGGTTGATCAAACCACGAGGAGTTTTAATCGTGTACCAAAAGTTGTTGTTCATAAGGGGGGGAAATGCAAGAAATTGATCGGAAAACTCTGGAAAAACGGCTTGCAAACCTATGTCTGCGGTCGGGAGGAACCGAATGGGAAAATGCGCGTGCGTGTGTGTGTGTAACGTCAGTGATCACTTCGTCAAAGGTGAGTTAATAGAACTTAAGTGACTGTTTGTGTAACGTGTAATGTTTTCGAACTTTGTAAAGTCAAAGTATG